ACTCCTAAGCACAGGTGCAGGAGCTCGAGGGTTGGAGAACGTGGTGGTGCTCCTGGAGAAGTCATGGAAGCTCTATGCCCACCCCCACTATGCCTTTCCTTATGCATTGCTCCCATTTTATAAGAAGCTGTATTCTCATAAGAATATTCTTTATAAGAAGTGGGTAAGCATAGCAAAGTGTTCCCCTGGGTATTCTTTATAAGACATGGGTAAACATAGCAGTGTTCCCTTGGATTCTCTGAGCTGTTCTACCAAATGACTGGACCTAAGAAGGGAGTTATGGGAACCTCCAATTTGTAGCCAAGTTGGACAGAAGCTGTGGGTGACCTGGAGACCCACCACTTAAAACTGGCATCTGGAGCGGGGCAGTCCTGGGAATTAAGCCCCTCCCCTGTGGGGCTAGCACTAACTCCAGTTAATGTCAGAGTTGAGCTGAACTGTAGGACGCCCAGCTGGTGCTGGAGAATGGGTTGGTGTGGGGAAAACCCCACACACGTGGAGGCGGGAGGAGTTCTGTGAGTGTTAAGAATAAACGAGGGAGGCATCTCAGCAAAAGAAATAAGTGGGGCTGATTTTAAAAGCAGACAAGTGTGAATTCAAGGTAAATACTGAAAATAGAATGAAAATCTGGTAATCATTGTTAACATCCTACAGTAAAGGGAAGGATGATTGAAGGAGGAATGTGGCTGACAGGGAGCGTGGCCCCGCCAGGCCAGTGAGCAAGGCTGGGAGTGGAGCTCCCAGACACCCGCCCAGGTCCTTCTCAGAGAGGGACCCATTCACAGGCACTGAACATACAAACCCCTCAGAAACACCTCAGCACATTAAAAATGTTAGAAAAAGTACCAAAGGCATTGTGCTTAAAGCATACAGTGATATAACTAGAAATTAATTTTTAAGTTAAAAAATGTGGAAACTTAAAAACACTCAACACAGCTCAGCTGAGGCTGGTCTGAGTGCAGTGGGGTGTACAAGGAATTGATGACAGCCTGTTACAGGTTTCTTTGCTCCTTTTCTATTTCCACCGCTGCTTCACTCTTGTAGCCTTTATTTAAAAAGTCTATTTGAAGACGGTACAAAAATTGACCTTATAGAATATCCAGAAAATACCAATAAAAACATTGCATTTAAGACATATGGACTGCTGGTAAAGCTTTGATGAGAATAAAAGGCAGAGCTGAAAATACGTCCCTGATTAAATTAGAAAAGGAATAATTGGAAACACATGGATTCGGCATCTACTAACTAACTTAGAAAAACAACAACAAAATAAAAGTAGACGAGAACCTATAACATGGGTGACTCTTGAGGACATCATGCTAAGCGAAATAAGCCAGTCACAAAAGGACAAATACTGTATGAGTCCACTTGTATCAGGTACCTAGTCAGACTTATAAAGACCAAAAGAAGGCTGGGCACAGTGCCTCATGCCTGTAATGCCAGCACTTTGGGAGGCCGAGGCAGGCAGATCACTTGAGGCCAGGAGTTCGAGACCGGCCTGGCCAACATGGTGAAACCCTGTCTCTACTAAAAATACAAAAATTAGCTGGGCTTGGTGGCACGTGCCTGTAATCCCAGCAACTCTGGAGGCTGAGGCAAAAGAATCGCTTGAACCCAGGATGCAGAGGTTGTAGTGAGCAGAGGTTGCACCACTGCACTCCAGCCTGGGTGACAGAATGAGACTCTGTCCCAAAAAAACAAAAATAAAAGGACCAAAAGGAGAATGGAATGGTGGTTGCCAGGGAGTTGGGGAAGGTGAATGCCATTGGGAAGCTGGTGTCAGGGGTTTAATCTGGGAAGATGAAAAGCATTCTGGGGATGTGTGGCTGTGAGGATTACACACATGTGAATGTATTTAATGCCACTGGTGGTACATTTAAAATTGGTTAAAATGGTAAATTTCACGTTATGTGTATTTTGCCAAAGTTTAAAAATATACAATCATTTTAAAAAATAGAATGAAAATATTAAAAATAAAAGCAGAAATTTAAGAATTACAAAACATAATTTGTTAATGGGAAGTATTAATTAATTAAACTCACAGAACTCTAACACAGCAGCAGAGGAAATGGCAAGAAGGCTATTGGAAGAAAAAAGGAAATTTAGAAAGCCGTGCAAAATGTGACATGTGACCACGGAGAGAAGACAAGCATGTGACCTGCAGCACTGCAGAAAGGCTGCCTTCTGAAGCCCGCTGTGTTCAGACACAGGCGGTGTCTGACCACAAAGAGTTTCAGAAAGACAGAAACTGTGAGCCCCATCCCCAGGGGCCATGACTTTGGGACCTCTTCCCCAACTCAGGACAAGCTACTGCATTAGAAGGTCAAACGCATATGGAGACGAAGTAAACAGTAATTAGAAAAGGAGCCATGGGGCCGGGCACGGGGGCTCACGCCTGTAATCCCAGCACTTTGGGAGGCTGAGGTGGGCAGATCACGAGGTCAGGAGATCGAGACAAGTCTGGCCAACTTGGTGAAACCCCGTATCTACTGAAAATACAAAAATTACCTGGGTGTGGTGGCAGGCGCCTGTAATCCCAGCTACTCGGGAGGCTGAGGCAGGAGAATCGCTTGAACCTGGGAGGTGGAGTTTGCAGTGAGCCGAGATTGAACCACTGCACTTCAGCCTAGCAACAGAGCAAGATTCCGTCTCAAAAGAAAGAAAAGGAGCCATCCATGGTGAGGTTAGAAACATTTTGATGGACAGAAGTTCTAGGGAGGCTGGGAAGGTTTTGTGCCACAAAAAAAGAAAGAATGAGCTTTTTAAAAAGTTAAATTATGCAAGAGTTACTTCCTGAGGTGTGCACCTTCAGAGGGCTCGGCTTAAAGCTTCTGGCGAGTGCAATGAGCAGCTACATCTAACCCACCTGTGCTGTCTCAACTAGTTTGCTCCACAAGCTCCCAGGGCCTGGGGGAAAGGCTGGGCCATGTCCTGGGCTGGAGATGGTCCTGCATTGGTTGTGGCTTGTGCTACACTGCCTCCTGCTGTCACCTGGGAGGGCTGGGTCAGCACAGGGACCCCCAGGACCCTGCAGACAGGTCCCCAAATTACTAAGTCTAAGGGTCTGATATAAACCAATAAAACTCATGGCAAGCTAAATAAATAAGCACAGGAGAAGGGAGAAATGCACACAATTACAAATGGAAAAGGAGAAGTAACGACAAATACAGAGGAAATAAAACACCTGACGTGCCTATACTGCAAAACTACACAACTATGTTGAAATGCGGATGGAATTAATTTTATTTTTTAAAATGTAATTAAAATGGTCTCCAGAAGAGCTCGAGGCCCTAATCTGCCTGATGAGAGAAATCCAAAATATACCACAGCAGGCCCAGACAGCCCCAGCTCGTTCTTTTACACTTAAATAGAAAATAATTCAAAACCAATAAATGGTTATGGAATATAGAGGTTTCTTTTCTTAAGTCAGCATCAATTTAAATCAAATGTGGACAAAAAAGCACACAAAAGCAAGCTGAAGAATGATTAATCTTAATTATAAATATTGATAACCAAAGTCATGATACTAAGTAAAGAACATCTCAGGAATATACTAATGATTTGGTCTTAAGGATTCTATTAATATAATTAAACATACTACTAGAGAAAAGGAAAAGACCTTCTGATAATCCCTCTGGATACTGAGAAGTTTCTGATAAAAATCTAACATCTGTATTTCCCCCAGAGAGCCTTAATAGTTTGAGAACACACAGGTATTTTTTTATTATGGCAAGGAAAATACATGTCTTCATACAAGTTAAATGCTGAGACATTAAAGCATCCCGCTGTTGTCAAGAACAAGGTAAGTATGCCACTTGAATAACTGTTACTCAACACTGATCTCAAATGCAACCAGATTCAAGAAAGAAACATTGGAAAAGAGAAGTCAAAAGGAAATATTAAAAACAAACAGGAATCACAATTTGTGGTTGATTGTAACATTTATACATGAAAACCAACTACTTTCTTATATATTGGGATAAAATAGAAAATAAAGTAGAATAAATCATTCCATTGGAAATGGTAGCCAAATGATAAAACATCTGGAAATAAGCAATTATAAATTCATAAGATCTTAATGAAGAAAATCATAAAACACTACTAAGTTACATAAAATTAGACTTAAACACAAGATTTCATGCTTTTGAATACGAAGACTCAATCTGTAAATTCACTGTGACTCTAATTTTTTAAAAAAAGATTCACATGAGAGATTCAGAGCTGAAGCGAATGTTGACTTGAAAGTATTGATATTAGTATGAATAAAGCTTTAGAAATTAAAGGCGTTCCTAAAGAGATAAATAAACAGAGCAGAAATAGAACCAAATACTTAAAGAACTTTGGTTTACAAATAAGGCTCCATTTTGAAGAAGCAGGGAAAACACTATGACTGTATTTCCGAAATGAATTATTACATAGTAATTGATATAACTGGCCACCATATGAAGGAAAAAGTATGGATCTTTCCCTCATTTCCTGCAACAAATGAATTCCAGGGAGTCAGAAGATGTGAAATAAGCAAATAAAACCATAAAGTTTCAGAAAGAAATATGAGTAAGTTTATTTATAATCTCAGGATGAGGAAGGCTTTTAAAAACTGGAAACGAATCCCACAACTGACAAAGAAAAATATTGATAAATTGACAACATAAAAATTTAAACTCTATGCCAATAAATAAGGAAATCAATAAATAACATCAAAAGACAAATGATAAACAAAAATATTTTAAAGACATAAGACAAAAATGTCCCAAAGTGCATGAGCAAATTAATTAAGAAAACGCCAAATAACCCAATTAGGAATTGGGTAAAAGATATAAGCTTATAAAAATTAAAATTACAAAAAAATTTGAAAAAATGTTCCATTTTTACATGTGATAAAATAAACTAAAATCAGAATAATATTCCTAAATATCATGTTTCACCAGTTACATTGGGGAAAACATTAAGGTTGAAAATACCCCATGCTATTATAGAAAGCTGAGGAATTGGGCCTTTAATTGTACTCTTCATGGAGTTACATCTATTGATCAGTTTCTAGAAGATAATCTGGCAATATCTATCAAAATTTTAAATACACATAACCTTAAAACTCAGCAATTCCATTTCTAAGTTGGAATTTACACCAAGCTTTAGTCACAAAAGTATGTTAAGATGTATGTACAAGCATGCCAATTATAGATTTGTATATAAAAATAAAAACCGGAAATATCCATATGTTCACCAGTAAAAGGCTATTCAAATAAATGACAGTCCGCTGAGACAATGGAATGCTAAGCAGCTATTAGGAAGAATGAGGTAGATCTTTATATGTTATTACGGGACGACCTCTAATACGAAACACCACGTGAAGAATGCGAGGTGCAGAGCACTTCACAGAGCGTTAGTGCTGGGAAGGGATGTCTCTCTCCATGCCCCCGTCCCTCTTGCTTTGGCCTCTTACCTTCTTTTTTTCTTTTCTAGAAATGCCCCTAGAAGCTCATTAATGGTCCTCTCTGAGAGAGAAAAGGGGCAGTATGGGAGGCTGTTGTTTTTAACCACTTATACTTTTCTAACTATGTGCACATCTATTCCCTATTATTACTTTATTAAATGACAGAGTAGTTTTTTCAGGGGTCAAAATATGCACAACTTTGGTTTGCATTTTATGTGTTCCTGCACAAACCCCAAAAGGTTTCTTTTTTAAACAAAAATGTGGGAGGGATCAATTTTGGGATAATGATAAGAAATGAAGCATTCCCTTTACATATCAAAACACTCCTACTTGTTTTTAAAGCATTGTAATAGAAAAAATAAATAAAAATCTTGTGCACAGTTCATCCATAGCATGTGGAAGGAGTGACTGCTGGAAGATCCTGCTCCAAACCGCCTGAGGCTGGAGTGCCCTGATTCATCAACTTTCTTGTAAGTGAAGTCTCTTAAGTCACACACACAGGTACTTGTGCACTTACACACACACACACACCCTGAACACACACAAGCTTCCACCTTCCTCTAGTGCAAATAAATTCATGTGCATTACCCAGAAATGAGTGAGCTGGATGGCTGGAAAAACACATATGATTTATTTAACTCTGAAAATAAAATCTTCCCTCATGATGTTCCCATCTCAAGGGTTAGAAGCAAATTAAAAATCTCTAGGGGCTCAGAAGCCTTCTACAATTTTGAGGTCTGAGCAGCTGTTGGATGATACAATGGAATAGGAGAGGTCTTTCTTGGTGAATTACCCTCTGACCTCACTAAAAAAATAAGAAAGAGAAGAGACAAAGTGATACTGTCAGCTAGATAATCTAAGGGAAGGGCTGTATCAGCAGTTAGGTTGAAAAATTAAAGTTTCTCTTGTTTTCAAGCTGCTCATCTCCAGGGAATCCACCCATGGACCTTAAGCCAGTTTTCTGGGCTGTCCACGACAGGTGGACGGGCTCGGGGCAGGCAGATTCCCAAAGGCCAGAACCTAGAGTTGCTGGCTTATCAGTCACTGAGGGTCTGCCAGCTCCTCCCTATCCAGAGCACTGCGGCCTGGATACCTGCCTGCCACTGGCCAGGTATCCAGAAAAGGGATGGACCACATCGCCCCCTCCTGGCAACTGCCATAGGAGGGACCAGAAGAGTTCCCAGCCCCCACTTCCAGGCCCTGACACACAGGGCCTAGGAATATGCAGTATGTTCACTTGATGCTGTGCATTTGTATGGATGTGCATGTTTCTAAGACTAATGCACTCCAGTGCATGTTAATCAGCTAACACATTATTTTTTTTAAAGCCCACATAAATGGCTTCACTTAGCTTTAGCTATTCTTTTGGGCTGTTAATTCTAGTAGAATTCTATTTGTCCTGTGGGTTCTGCAGAATAGAACAGATTTGCTCAACACCTCAGTGTCTGAGAGTAGCGGCATTTAGGAGTTGTCTGGGATCCACCAGAGACACTCCATGGGGCCTGGTCCTTGTTCAGAATAAACAGAAACCCGTGTCCCTTTGATTTCCTTGACAAGGTGGGTTTGCAGAAGCCAGGGAGGCTGGTAAAAACATCCTTAGCAAGACCCACAGTCTCTCTTTCTCTCTGTCTCTCTAACACAGAAACCACATAAAACTGCTTCTCTCTACCAATTGTCTTTGATAGAAAAAATAAAATAAAAATAAAAGTTGAATTGCAGAAAAGCTGTCAGATTTAGTTTTTAGTTTTTTTAGTTTTAGTTTTTTGTTTTCCTTCCACCAGTCAATTATTGGAATGGATTTAGTGAGTCTGGTTTATTTTAGCTTCAATCTAGGTTTGTACACAGGCAAAAGGCAAATGTTGAATTTTCAGGTAGACCTTCATGGCAAGTGGCATGCAGACATGCAGAACCAACTGTCCCGGCGGTGAGGAGCCACTGGGAGCTCTCTGAAGGGCTTTCCAGGCAGCGGGCTCATGGGCAAAATAACCTCTCAGAGGCCCTGCTGACCGACAGCACGGACGGGCCAAGGGTATGGATCAGCCCATCTGAGAGTACTGAACAGAGTGCTGAGAGCCTATTACCTAAAGTAACAAGGAAACCAGAACAACACGACTGACAGCCCTACGGGAACATCGGAATTGCCACGTTAATGCTGTCCTGGATTAGCACCCCCAAATCTCCCCAAGCCAAAGGCTTTGCCCATCTGTGCGTTTCCCACATGTACAGAGCCAGGCGCGGCTACGCGAAGTCTTTGGACACGGCCTCCACGAAGTTGGGAGCCGACATGAGGATGCCGATGGTGCAGATGATGGTGAAGACCGAGAAGGCCATGAGGCACAGGCGGTCCACCACGCAGGCCGCGAACTTCCACTCGCTGCAGACCGCCTCGCTCTCGTCCTGGCAGCGGAAGCGGTTGGCGATGTAGCGGACCTCCTCCAGGATCTTGGCCAGGTCCGGGTCCCCCTCGGGGGGCTGCCCGGCGTGCAGGAGGTGCTCGTCGTGCGTGGGGGAGCAGGCCATGCGGCCGCACACCACCCCGGAGTCGGGGGTCGGGGCGCAGTGCACGCCGTCCAGGCCGCGGAAGCCGATGTACAGCAGGTTCCCGTTGCTGGCGGGCGGCGGCGCCACCGCGCTCATCTCCACGCTGGCCAGGCTGCAGCGCCGCCGCGCGTGCTGGCAGGCCGGGCGCACCTTGTCCTCCCCGGGCCTCTTCATGCGGAGGAACCACGCGCACCAGTTCAGGAGGACGACTCTGGTCTGGGGAGACAACAGAACGTTAAGAGGGGCCCCCAGCTGGGCATCGGCTGTTGCTGACAGCAGCAAGATCCTACACGGCAAGGCCTGCTTCATGGGTCCTCGGGGGTAGCAGATGTCACAGCACCAAAAAAATTAAAAAAAATAAAAAAATAAAAAAGAAAGAAAAAGCAGATGATTTTAGCAGGCAAACAGCGCCTGCGCGTGACAAGCACTTAGTTCAATGTGAGGCGAGACTCAAACTAAGGCACCCTGAGAACAAGCTACATTTCTCTCCAGGGCAGGCAAGCTGCAATCTCAGGGAAGACAGCCTCGTGGAAGGAGAAGGCTATCTGAGCTGTGTAAAAAGGGAAAGTCAATTTCCCTCTCTGTTCCGTGCTTATCTGTAACCCGGGGACCTTCAGACCTAACTCTGGCTCCCACACTACGTGTGAGGCGCTCTGGAAGGCCACTGCAAATTCACAAAGAGTCCTGGGAGGTTTGACGTTTTCAAATGCAACCCCAGAACATCCATGAAACACCAGGTGAACTTGAGGCTTGAAACAGTTTAGGCTTCCAACATCAGATGTTCCAACCAGAGATGTGGATCTCTTATGATGCGACCACTTTGCAAAGCTGTTTTTCAGCTACCCTGATAAAAAGCAAATACCAAGGAACTTCATGTGAAACAGAAACTAGGTTAGTGGTCTCCAATCCGATCCTGAGATTTGAGAGAGTGCTGGGCCCCACAGGGGCTACATTGTTAAGGCATAAATACTTATTAAAGTGTTTTGATTTATTTAAAAAGAGAGTCTTGGGTATTATTTCTTTTGGCAATGGGCTCTGTGAAAAATTTCCTGAGACACCAACGTGCTATGAACCAAGGAAGTTTTGGAACCTCTAACCTAGCTCACTAAGCTTCAATGAAGACTGAATAAGACAATGCCTGGGAGATAACTTTTTTTTTTTTTTGAGATGGAGTTTTGCTCTTCTTGTCCAGGCTGCAGTGCAATGACGAGATCTTGGCTCACCAAAACCTCCGCCTCCCAGGTTCAAGCGACTCTCCTGCCTCAGCCCCCTGAGTAGTTGGGATTACAGGCGTGCACTACCATGCCCGGCTAATTTTTTGTATTTTTAGTAGAGACCGGGTTTCGCCATATTGGTCAGGCTGGTCTTGAACTCCTGACCTTGTGATCAGCCTGCCTTGACTCCCAAAGTGCTGGGATTACAGGTGTGAGCCACCACACCAGGTCCTGGGAGAGTACTTTGAAAAGCTGAAAGCAGAAGTTGACAAACTTTCTGTAAAGGGCCAGGCAGCTACTCATTTCTGCTGATGTATCACGCATTGAAGGCGTCAAATGGATGGCCATGTTTTCTAAAATAACTTATTTACAAAAACACTTGGTGGACTGGATTTGGCCACCTAGGCCAGTTTGCTAACCTCTGGTCTAAAGTGTGTCCTAGAGTGCATGAAAGAAGCTGGAGAAAAATAACCATAGAGTTTATCCGGGTTTTGCCTCTCATGGAAAGAAGGGAGACATCTACAGCCTCAATCTAGGTAAACAAGCATTCTTGCAAGCCTATCCAGGTAAGTGTGTAAAAAGTGGGCCCTTTCTCTGAAATTATCCAGATCCTGATTTCATTTACATTTTGTTTTATGATTGTGGGGAAATTCCATCAGTAACCCAGAAGGTATAGTTCCTATCTTTAGGAAATATACAGATAGTAAGTTGCGCAGTTCATATCTGCAGGGCTTTCATTCTTGGTAATCTTTTTATAACATCTTATCAAAAATAACTGCAACAAACAGGTTTGGGGACAAGAACAGGGAAGCATAAGACCAGTTTTGTTGCAGCTATAAAGATAACCCTTTATTTCCCACTGTACTTTACAAGCAGGCGGCAATCTGCATGTCCTGGAAAGGTTGGGTCTGCTGACCTTGGAGAGCTTTTTATGATCAGTAAGGAGTGGGCACATATGACCACATGTGAAACTTTGGATGAGCTGGGTCCTCCATACAAGGCTCATGAGACAAGTCATCTCACTTGGGCCTTTCAGGGTCCTGTGAAATGATTATATTCTCCCACTTTACAGACCAACAAACTGAGGTTCAAAGAGGCTAATAAACTGGCCCAAGGACATACCATGAGTAAGTAAGTGGTTATGTCACTTAACATGTTTAGCCTTTCCCAGCCTCATCTGTAAAAGGGTCTATGAGGTTCTCTTCAAGACTCATGCAACTTTAGCCCAAGCCCTCTGGGAAAGCACCAGAAATCCTAAGCCAGCTCCCCAGGGGGGCTGCAGGGCCATGAGTGTGCCTGCACGCAGTGGCAGCTGTGCACACGGGGAGCAAGCAGCAGCAGGCACTTCTCTCTCCGTGGCAGGGTCTACACGTCCCATGGTGCACATCTCAAGCTCACAGGATCCACACTGCCAAGTCTATTTTGAATTCCATGGCCTGAATCATTAGCTTTCAAAGCCATAGCACTTAAAAGATAAAATTATCCTTTTGGCCATGCTCTTGACCTCTTCTGTTAGGCTACAGTTTTGTTTCTGGCTGTGCAAATGTCACATAATGCCACTGCACCCGGCAGTATCTTCTTCATAGCAACAGATCATAATAAAAGTCCCTCTGAGGCTGTTTATGTTTCAAATACACATAGAATGAAAGAAAAATGCAGTGTGTTATGTAAAGCGTGAGAAATGTATAAGCTTCATCTTTCATTTGCAGCCAATTGGTTTTAATAAGCTTTTATGCTGAGAGGTGAATATGCTCTTAATTAAGATTTTTTTCTAGAGCAGTGGAGTGCTCCAGATCATTAAAAATGGTTCTGTGTCTTGATGTCTTAATTCTCTTATCTTCTCATCAGTCAAAATACTTATAAGAAATGAGAAGAAGTGTTTAGGTTTTTGTATTTGCATAAACCAATACTGGAAGGAAAAAGAAGGAATTCATTAAAATGGTTATCAATATTGGTGGCAGATGCAGGGTAAGGGGAAGGAATGGGAGCAGGATTTCCTTATGTATAATTGTAACTTTAATTTTATTTTGACTTTAGAAACAGGTAAATGTGTTACCTACTTCAAACTGATGGATAGACAGAAAGACCAGCAAACAAACAAGCTCCCCAGCTCTCAGGGCTCCCACCTCTGGCCTTGCATTTTCCTAAGTGTGTCGGGGTTATAAAGAAGTCAGACAAAAATACAGTTGAATGTGTGCAAATGTACCCCAGTGTTTAATGGGGGTGGTCTTCACAAAACAAACCTCAGGGACCACAGTGATGTGGTCTGTGTGTGAGACATCACCAGGTAGGCTAAGCACACACTACTGCTGGCACAATGAGCTAAAAGTGAGTCTTTTTTTTTTTCAGAGATGGGGGTTCGCTCTGTCACCCAGGCTGGAGGGCAATGCATTATGATAGCTCACTGCAGCCTGGAGCTCCTGGGCTCACATGATCCTCCCACCTCAGCCTCCCAGGTAGCCAGGACTACAGGCACACACCACCATGGCCAGCTCACAAGTAAGTCTTTACTAAATAGTGTATGAGACGAATGGGCCATGTGGGTGAAACTCTGAGAAGAAAGAGTAATTTTGTAAAGCATTTCTAAAGAAGTTGCTAAGTAAGCAATTGGGTAAACTACCACACAATGAATGTTTCAGGAGGCCCAGAAATCCCGTATTCCTGGAAGGCACCTGACTGCATCTCACCCCTTACAGTTGCATTTTGCTTATTGGTGATTCCTAGATTTCCTTCTGAACTGAGATGCAAGTGGTCTCCAAGGACAGGCAGCATTTGGGATGTGAGGGCATTTTGAGCTCCCCAAATCCTTAAGCCAGGCTCTCTAGACCGGAGGATGGGGAAGCTTTACAGAGCCCACATGAAGGGAGGAAGGGCGGGCCAGGGCACCTCTCCCTGGCATTGGGTTTTGTTTCTGTGAGGTGGGGAAAGTTCAGGCCCTCCCTAAGCCCTAATCAATGTTTCCTGACTGCCAGGCGAGGGTGGGTACATAACTTTGGACACCTGACACTGCAGGAGAGGATCCCTGGGTGGGTGAGCACCCATGGATGTGGCAGGCATGGTGCCAGCAGCTGGAGCAGGGGTGGCATGGCCCAGGCTAAGCTCACAGGCTGTGGGATGCAATCCTTTATTTTTCCATCCATTCCCTTTTATCCCCTCCCCCTTCCCCACTGGTGACGATTAGTCTTTGTTTTATAGCCTTCTGGTTGGATGATATCCCTTTAAGTACTGCATGTGCATATTTGTACATGGCTCATTCTGTTTCTTACTCTTTTAACTCCTCATTCTCTTGTGAAGCCTCAACCGTGCTGCTACGCGTCTGTCTCATCTGTTGCTTCCAACTGCAGCACAGGGCTTCATGGTGTACATCAAAAAAACCCAAAAACTAGCTTCTCAAAACACCGTACTGGAAGAACACACAGAGCAGCCAGTCTGAGAGCCTGACTCACAGTGTCAGTTTAGACAGCAGTGCCACGGGGCATCCAGGAACACGCGCACCATGACTGCATGCTACGCAAAGACACACCAATGGGTGACGAAATACAAAAACAAAGCTATTTCTTTAGGAATGCCCATTTTTTGTGTGATTTTTAAAATCGATAAACCCTAGGAGGCACCTCCTTTAGGGAGGGTCTCCAACTCCATCGGAGGTGGGAGGAACGTACCCACTTGGGCATCTTGCCCCCATCGGGGTCGTGGTGGTGGTACTGCAGCACGATCACTGTCACCACCACCGAGAGGCCCACGATGATCATGGTGCTGGCAAAGTACTGGGCTGTGGAGAGAACAGAGACAGGGTGAGACCCGGGGCTCCCGCAGCACTGAATGTCACAAGATAGGCACAGCCTGACTAGTTCTCGGTCACATCAGGGCCTCGGGGTGCAGTGATGCCCATGTGCTGGGCAAACAGCCTCCTGCCACCGGCCAGGTCTGCAGCCCACATTCTAGGTAGGCAAAACCAGCCAGCATGGTCTGACTTCCCGCCCACGGAGTGGTCTTCCCTCACTCATTGCACCTCCATGCACTCTGGCCTCCTTGTCAGTCAATAAGAGCTAGCATCGCCTGGCAGGATGGTGAGAAGGTTGCTCCTGTGAGTCAATACTGGATGTGAAGGTATGCGAACCACCCAGTGTTTATGATGCACGTCTCCACGGTGCGCCAGAGATACAACGGGGCAAACCTGCACACCAACTGGCTGCCACCTGTCCAGCCCGAGGAAGGGGTCAGTTTCAGGGACTTTCCAGGACAAGAACTTCAGCCTCAGCTTTGACTCTGATGGGCATCAGTGTCCTTCCACCTGGGCCCAGGTGAGAAGCAGCACGGAGTATCTGAGTGCATCCACCCTGGTCCACTGGCTACTGGCTGTGAGTTTGGAGTGGATGCTCAGCCTCTTTGGGCCTCGGCTCTTCAATGGGGATTAGGCAAAGGATGATGTTTGTGTCCCCACCAAGTTCATGTGTTAAAATCTTAGTCCTAACTGGGATGGTATCTGGAGGTGGGGTTTTGGGAGGTATGAGATTGTGATTTATAACAAGAAATAGGTATTTGGTCTTCCTCCCGTTTCCTGGCACACAGCTCCTAAAACCTTTGAATCTCTGAAGTCATCAGTGTCTTTTTATATGCTAATGAAATAACTTATGGCTGAGGTTCCTGGATAGTTTCGGGGTTGGTTGCCAGGGGAACCAGCCAAGTAATCAGAGAGTTGGAACCTTCAAGCCCTGTCCCCCTTCCCAACCCTTCACCCTGGGGAGGAAAGAGGTACTGAGGGTTGAGGTGATCACCAGTGGCCAATGACATAATCAATCATGCCTATGTAGTGAAGCCTTCATAAAAACCCAAAAGCACGGAGTTCTTCAGAGACTTGACCAGTGCTGAACATGTGGAGGTGTCTGGAAGGTGATGTGCCCAGAGACAGCACGGAAGCTCCATGCCCCTTCCCAAATACCTTGCCTTACTCATTTCTTTCATCTGATTGTTCTTCATCTATACTTTACAATTAATGAATAAATGTATGTAAAGTGTTTCCCTGAGTTCTGTGAGCCAATCTAGTAAATGACTGAACTCAAAGATGCAGTTTTGGGAACTCCCTACCGATTTACAGACAGTTGGTCAGAAGCATGGGAAGCCGGCACTTCTAACTGGCATCTCAAGTAGAGATGGTCTTGAGCCTTAATCTGTGAGGGCCATGCTAACTCCAGGTAGTCTCAGGACTGAAGTAAATTGCGGGACACCCAGCTGGTTTCCAATAATTGGTCCTCATGGAAGAAAAGCCCCCATTTGGTGTCAGGAGTGTTGTGTAAGTAGAGAAACGGTGAGTGATTTTCTCAGAGGACTTAAAGAGGTCTGAGGGTGCAGCCCTCATGAATGGGATTAGAGTCCTTCATAAAAGGAGGCTAAAGAGCTAATTCACTCTCTGCCACATAAGGCCACAGCGAGAAGAGGGCCATCTGTAAACCAGGGAGTGGCCCCTCACTGGAGCCCTGCTGGCACTCTTATCTAGGACTTGCAGCCTTGCAGAACTGTGAGGAATAAATGCCTGTTGCTTAGCCTGCAGGCTACAGCAATTTGTCATGGTAGCCTCCACTAAAATAAACAGGAGCCCCTTCCTTGCAGGATTTGTGCAATGATTAGCAATTACATGGGCCAAGATGTCTAAGAGAAAGGAGGTAGTGTTCTTCAGTGGGCAGCTCTGATCATCAAACCTTTGCTGTGGCTGTGGACTCAAGGGGCTGAGCTCTAAGGGAAAGCATTTTGGTGCACGAGTCTGAGTGTTCAGCTGGCCAAGAACACCGCAGGCCCTCACACCAGGAAGGACTCACTGACTTCCTGCAGAGACCAAGAGGTACCTGGGAAAGCTCTGCCAGAATGTGGAAGTTTGAGACCTAAAGTTACTGTCAGGGCCCCTGAGGAAAGGAAGGAGACTGGAGCAAACTGTGACACTTATGAGCTGAATTGTGCTTCACCCTAGAATTCATATGCTGAAGCCCTAACCCCTAGTACCCTAGAATGTGGCTGTACTTGGAGATGGGGTCTTTAAGGAGGTGATTAAGTACAATGAGGTTATCTGGGTAAGCCCTAATCCAATCTGACTGGTGTCCTTTTTAAGAGGAGGAGATTTGGACACACAGAGAGATAATAGGGTGCAGGTACAGTGGAACTACCAGGAGAGGACAAAGCACTGAGGAAGTGGTTGTCTGCAAGCCAGGGAGAGAGGTCTCAGGTTAAACCATCCCTTCTGGCCTCTTGGTCTTGGACTTGCAGCAGTGCAACTGTGAGAAAATAAATTTCTATTTAAGCTCCCAAGTCCATGGTATTTTGTCATGGCAGCCTGAGCAGACCAACCACCTATGGAGAGATGGGGGTCAAAGGATTGCTCTGAGTGAAATTCCATCAACAGAGGGTAGCAAAGCTGACATCCCTGAGGCCATCAGCATCCCATCCTTCTAGATGTGGGCTATGCACCAACCAAGCCTTTCCCAGCAGGTAATCAGTCCAGAGAGGGCCTGACAACTGCCTCAGGAATGGTGGTTGCAAATCTCTACTGAAAGCAATGTGTTGGAAGGTAGAAAGAATGGAGTCAGACTCAGGTGGAAAGGTGGTTCTTCCCTGTCTGGATGGTACCAAAAGAAAAATGATACCCACAAAACTTTTTGTACCAACAGTTTCTCTGGCCAAAATATTACACATACAGGGAGTTCCACAAAGAAGGGCCTTGGCTGCCTGGTTCCTAAATCCTGGGGGTATCCAGGTAGGGCTCTTCCTCCAGCCCAGCCCCAGGTAGACACACAGCACGGGTCCTCGAGCAGCAGGGGCCAGCACGTGTAATGACAGTCTGTATTACCTCCTTCTGACCTTCCCTGCCCAACAGGAGTGGGGACTCTAGGTTTTGTTTTTCCTCCCTGGGCAGCGGGTCATGCCTTATACCTGTGCAAACTATATTTTTCTCATTCATATTTCCCTAAACATTTTTATGTTATACAGAGACACTGAGTTATCTCGGGACACCATAACTGTATGCTTCTCCCACTTTAACAAAGGGTTTGTGGGAAAACAACATCTTAAGCTAAAATGATGCATCTCTAATGATAAAATATCTGGCTTCAAAGCAAGTATGAGGGGGAGAATTATGATGGGAAGGGGGGTGTTTCTGCAGGTGAAAAATCTCAAAACTGAATATCCCCTTCCCCTTACTTGGTCCCATGTGACTCTGAGTAGTCACAGCAAACCATCACCTTCCAGACAAAATGGGGGCAGTGCAGCCATATTTCTTCTAGTTTCATCTGCTGGGCAATCCTAGGCCCTCTCTAACCCCGTATCTCTAAGAGAGTGCTCGACTCTTGCCTTACCTATCAATGGCACTGAATCGGATGTTGCGGGCATGATCTCGGCCACAAGCAGCATGAAGACAGTAAGGGAGAGCAAGACTGTTATCCCTAAAACATAAACACACAGCAGTTCCTCAGACAGAACAGACGTAACAAGGGTTCAAAACCTGATACTCAAAGAACTAGGGAGGTGCTGGGGAGAATGTCATGGAATGCATGTTTTCCCTATGTATGGGCATGTGCATTTTCCTGGGGACAGTTCATGCCACTTATCAGAGTCCCAAAGGAGTCTCTTACTGAGACAAGTTCAGGACCCAGAATTTCAGAAGCATCAACTGAAAATCTTAACTTAGCACAATTCTCTCTCATATTCTTTGTTAAATATTATTGAGAAGTAGTTTCGTGTAACAGGAAAAAGAAAATCTGTAGTCAGGAGACCTGGTTTCAGGTCTTAAGTTTGCCACTCAGCTAGCTACATGACCTTACATATCACATTCAACCTTGCCGAACCTCATACTCAGAAGATATGGGTTTGGAAATGATTTCTACCATATGCTACATCTGATGTTTAGTCACTCTTTAAGACATTGAGAAACTCATTCCACCACTCGAAATCTTGGTTTTCTTAGCTTCATATGGGAATGATCATAAGAATTACACTGTACTGCAACATATAAACGCAAACTGATAACTGAGCTAAATTGTTCCCTTGATGACCAGTCACCATCAAGGAACAGGTGGGATGGCAAGAGGGAAGAAAGTATAGGCCCCTTGGGGCAAAATGGAACTGGACCCTCCCCATGCATCCCCTATCCTCTGAGGGTCCTCCAGTATTCTTAGGACCACACAGCCATCCAGTACGGAGCCTGAATCAGGGACCCCTGGTATCCTGGAGCCAGCCTGGGCTAGGAGGTCCATGTGGGATAAGCCTGGCAAGCCCCAGGAACCCTGATGGAGTCCTGTGCTGTCTGCTGTGAACCCTGCAGAGCTGACCTCAACTGAGGGCCTCCAGTCTTCAGACTCCACCCAGAGACCTGGTCACTCACCCAGGGAAATCTTCTCCCCAGAATCTGCAGGAAGCAGAAACACCAGCAGGGCGAGGGCGGAGATGAGTACGCAGGGGATGAGCAGGTTGAGGCCGTAGTAGAGGGTCCTGCGGCGCATGGTCACCGTGAAGGTGACGTCGGGGTAGGGCTCTTTGCAGCACTCATAGAACTTTTCGCTTCTCTTGCCAGGGATTCCTCCATAGGGGGGAGGAGAAAAGGAGCCATTGTTAGAATACAATACATTACTCTGTTGATTCAATGTGTATGCCACACGCAAGCATAGCTCTAAAGTTTGCAAAGTGCTTAAAAAAAAAGGGGGGGGGCGTAATTAGCTTGAATAAAACCTTGTTGATTTACTATAGGGTTAAGAGTATCTTAGTGATAACTGGGCAAATCGGTAGACATTCTTTTGATGGATTGGAAACATACAATTATAAATAATACATTACCAATTTTACACTGTTATAAATGTAATCATTGTTTTTCTACTTAAAGTGATCAAATACAAGTTCCCATCAGCTGAAATTTGCTGTTCAACTTGCTTTTAGAAATGGAGTGGATCTGAATAACACAGGGATCTCCATTCTCACACTAGTTTGTTGAAATGCGTCCTCACTCTAGTTGCCAGTTCCTCTTGGAAAGCATGGCATATCCTGTTTTCTGTTTCTCCTCCTAGAGCTCTCACTCAATTATGGAGACTACTGCAAAATTCAATAAATGCTCACACCAAAAAGGACAGTGGAAAATCCCAAACTGTTAAAGCTTGCCCAGGAATAGAAAAGCTTTCTTCCAGGCTGTTCATCTCATGGCTTACCCACGAGGTCCCATTCTCCATTGGGGATATAGCCACTGATATCTGCATCCTGCATCTGCAGATCCAAGGACCAGCCTCCATAAGACCAGGACCCGAACTTCAATTTGCAATGCTGTACATCAAAGGGAAACCAGCGTACATCGATGTAGCAGGAACTCTTGAATATGCCTGTGTGGGTGATGGAAACGGAAGCTGGCTGAGATGTGCTCAAAATACACAGCAGTTCCTTCAGGCGGTTCCACCCCTCCACAATGCAGATAACCCAGGTCACAGAAAACGGAATCTGTTTTTCTATTTATTTACTTGTGAAATCTTTAAAACAGAATCTCAGCTAAGCATCGCTGTCTTTTGAAATCCAAACATAACACTGACGTGCTCTGTCAAAGACTGTTCTGTGGACTTTTCGTGCAAAAAGTTAGCTCTATAATCTTGTATTTACCATGAGCATCTTCTGATTCTAAATAATAGAAGAATGCAAAATATCTCAGAGAAGTTGATAACTAGGATGAGGTTAGAAACAGAATCTAAAAGGGGTGTGTGTGTGTGTTTGATGCAGAGTGAGGAAGGCATTTTCTGTAGGTTAAATATGGGAGAACACATGATTATCTAGAAATTTAATCCAGAATTCTAGTTAAAGCTAGAATTTTAACTCATTTAAATTCTAGATCAAGAACAGAACAAGCTGGGCACAGGGTCTCATGCCCGTAATCCCAGTGACTTGGGACACTGAGGTGGTAAGATCACTTGAGCCTAGGAGTTTGAGACTGGACTGGCAACATAGTGAGACTTCACCTCTCATAAAAAAATTAGCTGGGTGAGGTGGTGCATGCCTGTAGTCCCAGCTACTCAGGAGGCTAAGGCAGGAGGACTGCTTGAACCCAGGAGTTTGAGGCTAAAGTGAAGTGAGCTATGATTAAGCCCCTGCACTCCAGCCTGGGAAACACACCTAGAACCTGCCTCTAAGAAAAGAAGTTAAAAAGAATAAGAAGTGATAGGTTTAAGCAGAAGAGATGGTGCTTGAAGGAAGAGTTTCCACTGAAAAGGGCTATTCCAGGCTGGGACACGTTGGAAGTGAATTTCACAGAGGGCCACAGGGAGGAAACCAGAAGAGGCTACTCCAGTTATTCACACCCATGTGCTCTTCCCAGCCCAGAGCAAGGCTGCATGGTACAAGAAGACAGGCACAGACTCAGTGTCCCAGTGCTCCTGGGGCAGGGCTGGCACTCTGCAAACTTCTGCTACTGAATTACAGAAAGAATGCATGGAGGAAAGGCCTCAATGGCCTTGCAAATAAGGACCCCACCCTACCATCAAATTGAGAAAAGATGCCCATTTTGTCCCCTGAACTCCCTAAGTATGATTTCCATCCTCACACAAAATGTTCATAGGAATCCGGAATCATCACAGACACTCCCCTCCATTAATGACTGGATCCCCAAAACACACACTGTCTGCCAGTTAGAAAGCTGTGTAACCTCATGAGTCCTTTTCTACAAAGTGGCCCAAGATAGAGAATTTCTAGACAGAAAGCAGATCAACGGTTGCTGCTAGTGGGAATGGGAATTAACTGCATACAAGCGAAAGGGATCTTTGTGGGGTGATGGGAATGTTCTAAAACTAGACTGTGGTAATGGTTGCATAATTCTGTAAATATACTAAAAATTGTTGAATCGTGTACTTAAAATGCATGATATGTAAATTTTATCTCAATAAAGCTGTTAAAAAATAAACACATGAAATGAGGGAAAAGTCATGTTATGATCAAGTCTCTATTTCAAAGCTTGAACTCCAAACCTTCTTTTCCACCCATGCCCCTCTAACTGCAGAAAGGGCAGCATCCTGGGACTAGTTCCACACCCCCAGGGTGCAGGTGGGGGTCCCAAACCAGGCAGCTCTGGGCCTTTCCTACCAGTGGAAGGACGCCCCTCATGGTCACAGGACAATGTGTCCTGTCCTCACCAGGATCCAGGGCCACTGCGGTGGGGAGATAGCCCCAGCTGTGGTGGCTGCACTCAGGCAGCTAGAGGCTTGGGGTGCCGCTCCAGCAGCTGAAAATAGCCTCAGCCTTCCAAACAACCTGCAGCAGCATCTTCTACACTGGTGACTATCCAAGGCTGTTTTCTAAAATAGCCCTCAGAACAGAAGCTGCAGCATGCAGGCCACGTAAGAAAGACCTTGGGAGTGACGGAAGGCTCCCCTGACTGCCCCCATCTGCAAGGAGCCTGCTGTAGCAGGAAACACCAGGGCTAGCAGGAAAGCGGATGCTGCAAGAAGCCTGAACAGCTGAACTTCTTCAGTCTGTTCCAACATTATGGGAGGTGCTACCACTGACAGGTTCACTCACTTCTTTGTTCATTCAGGGGTGGATGCTAAGGTGAGCAAAGGCGGACTCTGACCCCAGGATGCTTGTCACCGGCTGACAGGGAGGGCGCGCAGATGGCAACCCAGAAGGCAGAGCCCGCCTAGCCGAGGCAGTGTGGTGAGTGCGGGCGTGTCTCCGCGGTGGTGTGAGATGTGTATTACAGTGTGTAGTGTGAGTCTGAGAGTGTATGAGGTGTGTATGTGGTGTGACACATGTAAGTGTGTGGGGCGTGTGTATGATAACGTGTGGTGTGAGATGCATATGTGCATGTGAGAGTTTAGCTGATGTGAGAATGTGAGGTGTGTGGGGGTACATGAGTGTGTAGGAGTGTGTGTGATGTCTGCCTGTATGTGAGCATGGAAGCGTAAGTGTGTGGTGCATGTGTATGAGTGTGTGGTGAATGTGAGACTGTATGAGGTATATGTGTGTGAAAGTAGGTGTGGTATGAGCATGTGTGTGGTATGTGAGTGGTGTGAGTATATCTGGTTTGAGTGTGTGTGTGTGCATGTGTGAGTGGTGCTTGTATGGTATATGTGTCAGTGGCGCGTGTGTGTGGTGTCTGCACGTGAGTGGTGTGTGTGTCTGTGGCATGTATACGTATGTGTGGTGTGTCTGGGTATGTGTGAGGGGTGTATGTATCTGTATAAGTGTGTGTGCAAGTGTGAAGGATGTGTGTGAGTGGCATGTGTGTACATGTCTGTGGTATGTATATGTGTGTGTGGTTTGTGTGAGTGGTGTATCTGTGTGTGCATGTGTGTGATGGGTGTGAGTGGTGTATCTGTGTGTGCATGTGTGTATGCATGGGGGTGTGTGTGGTGAGTGGTGTGTATGAGAGATGTGTGTGAGGGGTGTATGTGTAAGTGCTGTGTAAGAGGTGTCTGTGTGTGGTGTGAGTGGTGTGTAAATGGTGTGAGTGCTGTGTTAGTGGTGTCAGTGGTGTATGTGTGTGAGTGGTATGTATGGAGTGGTGAGTGGCTGTGTGTGAGTGGTGTGTGTGAGGGGTGTGTGAGTGGTGTGATTGTGTGAGTGGTGTGTGTGAGTAGCACGTGAGTGGTGGGCGTGTGAGTGGTGTGTGTGTGTGTGGTGTGAGTGGTGTGTGTGAGGGGTATGTGAGTGGTGTGATTGTGTGAGTGGTATGTATGGAGTGGTGAGTGGCTGTGTGTGAGTGCTGTGTGTGAGTAGTGTGTGAGTGGTGTGTGTGTGACTGCGTGTGAATGGTGTGAGTGGTGTGTGTGAGGGATGTATGAGTGGTGTGTGATTGTGAGTAGTGTGTGTGTAAGTAGTGTGAGTGGTGTGTGTATGAGTGGTGTATGAGCAGTGTGTGAGTGGTGTGTTAGTGGTGTCAGTGGTGTATGTGTGTCAGTGGTATGCATGGAGTGGTGAGCGGCTGTGTGTGAGTGGTGTGTGTGAGTAGTGTGTGAGTGGTGTATGACTGTGAGTAGTGTGTGAGTGGTGTGTGTGAGGGGTGTGTGAGTGGCGTGTGTGTGAAGGTGTCAGTGGTGTGTGAGGGGTGTATGAGTGGTGTGTCGTGAGTAATGTGTGTATGAGTAGTGTGAGTGGTGTGTGTGTGAGTGGTGTGTTAGTGGTGTCAGTGGTGTATGTGTGTGAGTGGTAAGCATGGAGTGGTGAGTGGCTGTGAGTGGTGTGTGTGAGTAGTGCGTGAGTGGTGTGATTGTGTGTGTGAGTAGTGTGTGAGTGGTGTGACTGTGAGTAGTGTGAGTGGTGTGTGTGTGAGTGGTGTGTATGTGATTGTGTGTGAATGGTGTGAGTGGTGTGTGTGAGGGATGTATGAGTGGTGTGTGATTGTGAGTAGTGTTTGTGAGTAGTGTGAGTGGTGTGTGTGTAAGTGGTGTGTGTATAAGTGGTGTATGAGTGGCGTGTGAGTGGTGTGTTAGTGGTGTCAGTGGTGTATGCGTGTGAGTGGTATGTATGGAGTGGTGAGTGGCTGTGTGAGTGGTGTGTGTGAGGGGTGTGTGATTGTGTGTGAGTTGTGTGTGTAAGTGGTGTATGTGAGTGATGTGATTGTAAGTAGTGTGTGATAGTGTGTGTGAGTTGTGTGTGAGGGGTGTGTGAGTGGTATGTGATTGTGAGTGGTGTGTGTGGTGTATGTGAGTGGTGTGTGTGGTGTATGTGAGTGGTGTGTGATAGTGTGTGTGTTAGTGTGTGAGTAGTGTGAGTAGTGTGTGAGTAGTGTGAGTAGTGTGTGAGTGGTGTGTGTGTGAGGAGTGTGTGGTGTGTGTGAGTGGTGTGTGTGTGGTATGTGTGGTGTATGTGAGTGGTATGTGAGTGTGTGCGAGTAGTGTGTGCGAGTAGTGTGTGTGGTGTGTGTTGAGGGGTGTGTGGTATGTGTGAGGGGTGTGTGAGTGGTGTGTGTGAGGGTGTGTGAGGTGTGTGTGTGAGTGGTAGTGAGGTATGGAGGTAATTGCAGGTTGCCTCTGAGCAGAAAGTTACAACAGCTGCAGTGTGGGAGATAACCCTAGAATAAATACATTAAAAATATTCTAAAAGATAAAAAACCCCAAGTGTTCATATCAATATACCAGCATACACCCTGCATGCACCTCAAGGCCCATCTCCCATGCTGTGTGAACTGGACTGAAAAGACGGGCTGGCGGGAAAGAAGCAACCTGGGAGCACTTAGCCGTGGAGGTGGAGAGAGGGAAGACATTGCTGGGAGAAGTCAGTCGCTAGCAAGCTCTCCCTTGAAACCACCAGACCTTGCCTGTAACCTGCACATGCTCTTTAGCGCACGCACTCAGGATCCTGGAACCGTCACATCCCACCCCTGCAGCTGGAGCGCTGCATTGTCAAGACACTGAGTCCCACGGGAAGGAGGATGGTGAGCTGGAACGGAGAAGCACAGCCTGGAGAGGTGGCCTGCAGGCTGGCAGGTGAGGTGGCCGCTGCCTGGCAAAGGAGCCTTGCTGTACTTGTGCATTGGCTTTAAGGCACACACGGCAGAAAATAAGGACCTATGACACGCACTGGCAAAGGCAGCTGGACTGAGACAAAGGAGGGGGATGGACTTCTAAGGGTAGAAAGCACATAGAAGCACAGAAGAGAGAAGAAGAGGTGGGAGTGAGCAGAGGCGAAGCAAAGAGCTGGTCCACCGCACAGGGGCATCCGCCAGACTGACACCCAAACTCGCTTCAATCTTCTAACTGCAAGAAGACAAAGGAAGTGCAGCTTACCTGGAGGCAGGTACTGGCAGTGCCCGGAAGAATTCACCAAGACGTTGGTGTGGAATGTGGCGTCAAAGCGCTCATCGGCACTAGAAACAGGAAAAGGACTGCATGAGCCAGTGCCACCAGGCTGCAGATTTCCCGAAGCCCTGGGGTCTGTCTTCGCTGGAGTAGCAGAGGCCTTGAGAGGGGCCCCTGTCTGTCCTCACAGCCCCACACCCCACCTGAGAGCACCACTGGGGCTGGCCTGGGAGATATTCGAGGAGCATAGCTGGGAAGGAGCCAGTGTCCACCTCCATTTCCATTTTCACACTGCACTGTGATTTTTCTCACACTGTATACAAAATAAAGCTCTTAAACAAAGTGAAACCTGTAAACAACTTTGGAGGACATTGGAAGTTGCGATATTTTCATGACAGCTAGAAGAGAGGGTGGGGGAAGCATACTGCCACCCAGCACGCCCCATGGGGCAGGGATTTTCACTCGCTGTGCTCAGAGCTCTAGTTCCCACCTCTTGAAGGGGCCCACACTTGGTTAGTGCTTCACATTTACATCTTCAATGACGGAAACTGTAGGTGCAGGGGGGAGATGGACACCACAACCCCAGAGGGTTCCCGGCTCCACAGTTAGTGATGAAAAGGAGAGTGGGTGAAGACAACAGAATTAAGCATGAGTTTTAGATGGACACACCTCTGCACCTCCCCAGCCTATGTTCCAGCCTCCTGCAGCCAGGAGTTAACAACTGGGCTAAAGGACACACATATACACACACAACTGGGCTAACGGACACACACACACACACACACACAGCAGCAGCAGCAGCAGCAGCAGCAATTACACCAACAGCCTGTACTAGCCTTGTCTTCTATTTTCTGGATTCCAATGCATTGACATCTGGGGCCTTGCTGACTCTGGAGAGACCCTGAAGGGATTGTCAATTCACTGAGAGAGTAAACAACTCCAGCCTTTCAAACACAAATCAATCAATCCAGAACTGCCACCCAAAGACATCCTTTATCAGGCTGTCACACAGGGGTTGACCCCAGTCCTGCCCTCATCACCACAGGACCAGGTACCAGCCAAGCAGGGAGAGTCCCTATGCCCCAGGGCCTGCTGACCTTATTCTAAGGAGCCAATCCTAAGCCTGAGCCTGCAGGTCCTGCTCCTCCCTTCCTTCCTGCAGAAGCCACAATGAAGGAGGGCTCGTGCTCTGCCTCCCGCGTGGCCCTAGAGCTTCCCTGTATCCTCTTATGCTGCGCTGTACTTCTGCTTCCAAGGAACTGTGAGTAAAACCATTTTCCTTCAAGACAGTCACTTCTGTGTTTGAGTGTCTCACCATGCCTGATTAAAGCCAGCCCCAGGTACCCTTAAAACACAGCCCTACAGGTAAAGAGAAATAAACCACCTCAAGAAAACACAGGCAGCCAGTCAAGGTAGCAGCACCCCAGAGTAAAGCTCCCCTCATTTTAGCCACCGTGGCCCTTGCAGGAGCTGCCCACGACTACGAGCCTCAAGCCTCAGGGAGCCTCTCCCATGTCTGAGACCCTCCCAAGGGGAAACTCAGAATCACAGATACCGGAGGACAGTCTCCAGCATGTGACACACAATGGAGGGCACACACCAAGAAAGATCCAAGAAGAATGAGTCAATGAAAAGAAGAAAAAAAACCCTTCTTAAAAAAGGCCAGGTGCAGTGGCTCACGCCTGTAATCCCAGCACTTTGGGAAGCCAAGGCTGGCAGATCATGAGGTCAAGAGATCGAGACCATCCTGGCCAACATGGTGAAACCGCATCTCTACTAAAAAAAAATATACAAGAATTAGCTGGGAGTGGTGGTGGGCGCCTGTAGTCCCAGCTACTCAGGAGACTGAGGCAGGAGAATCACTTGAACCTGGGAGGCAGAGGTTGCAGTGAGCTGAGATTGTGCTACTGCACTCCAGCCTGGTGAAAGAGCAAATGTCCATCTCAAAAAACAAACAAAAAAAAGTAACGTCCTCACAAAATTCAACAGGATGTCACAATTAGTTAGAAAAACAGAGAGCAAATGGAAATTAAAGGTATGATTTATGAAATAGCTTTTTGTGAGTGGGCAGGAGGCTTGGCTGATAGAAATCACAGAGATGAAATGTAGCACAGAAAGAAGATGGCGCAGAGGACAAAGGCGGGGCAATCTCAGCTCACTCACAGAAGCCCCATCCGGGAGAGGGGGAGGGAGAAAATTACCCAAGAAATAACACAAAGACACTTCTCACAGCAGAAAAACCACACAGGCATGAAGGCAAAAAAAAAAAAAGTTTTCAAGGACATTAAGGCCTTGAAGAGCTTGTTCCCAACATATATTTTCTTGGTCAGTTTTGGAACAATGAGAGAGAAAACTGAGAAAGAGGAAATACACTTTTAGACTAAACCTGGAGATCGATAAAAGAGATTTAGATGATGAGTTGTGCAGGAGGCCTAGAAAAGAGTGGGTCCAAATCCCAGCAAGACCTTCAGGTCCTCAGGATGGAACCAAATGGGTTCAGGGCAAGAAAGAAGAGATATACTGAACTGAAAAATATGATGGACTTGATTCAGGACACATTTTTTGAAGTTCTTGGAATAAGAAAAAGGCAACCAGAAACTCTAGGAAAAAATAAATAATTGTATAAAGAAGTCATGATTTGAATTTGAATATGAAACAAAAAATGTAATGAAGTTTAAGGGAAGGAAGAAAGGGGAGAAGGGGGGAAACGGCGAGAGAGTGGAGAGAGACGGAGAGAGGCGGGAGCGAAGCTGTCATGAAAGGACACATACGTCCCCCCTTACTTCCAAACACACTAGGGAAAGAGAGAGGAGGAGGTAGGACCAACATGTAAATATTCTTTGCTGGACTGTAGCCTGTATCTGACTGTTAATGAATCACCTTCTGAACAGTGATTGAGCACAAAATAGCCGAAAATGTGGACCTGCACAACCTCACTCTGGATAGTTTCATGATCTTCAAGCTAGGTTCTTCGGAGCCCTGAGATCCTGCGGAGGCACCTCAAGGTTTCTGAAAATATTCACCTCCAATATTTTAGTTCCTTCGGATTTGAAAATAGTAATAAAAGTCACACACTCAAATGACTATTAACAAAATTTTAACTCTTAGAGACTACCATTATGTTCATTTATGTGTCCTGTTTAACTTCTTTTTGCCTGAAAGTTAAACTAAAGTCTATCTGGCCATGAATGTGCACATATTTGAATCTCTTATAAAGGAGTCACTGCACAAGATTTCAGTTTTTCATAAAAAATTAAGTCTATGCTTCCAATTACATGGCATCTAACCCGCACGGGATGTGGGATGCGTTCCTCCATCAATCACTCTCAGCAGCAGCAACATAGAAAGCATGGCTGGACACAGTGGTTCACGCCTATAATATTAGCACTTTGGGAGGCCCAGAGGGGAGGATTATTTGAAGCCAGGAGCTGGAGACCTGCCTGAGCAACAAAGCAAGACCCCATCTCTACAAAAACAAAACATAAAGAAAATCAGTACGGTGGTATGAGCTTATAGTTCCAGCTACTCGGGAGGCTGAGGCAGGAGGATTAGTTGAGTCCAGGAGTTTAAGACTACAGAGCTATGTTTGCACCACTGCATGCCAGCCTAGGACACAGAGTGAGACCCTGTCTCTAATAAAAGAAAATAAATATATAAAAATATTTTTGAAATAAAAATAAATTTAAAATGTTAAGAGAATAGTGTGGTTTGATACATGTTATGGGGAACAAAGTTTTGCTTATTTTAAGCTTGGGTTTCTTCCTGTCTGATTTTCATATTTATAATCAAGATGGAACATCTGTTAGATCAGTGATTTAACTCTGAAAAAAAAGTTCCTACAAGCCTTTCTTTCAAGCATTTGGATCAATTTAATTGAAGAGACTCTCGAGATCACAAGGCAAATAGGTAAAAACAAGATAAAAAACTGTTGCTATTAGCAACAGCTTACCTATGTGACTCAGTGATTTGTGACTCAGTGATTTCTGAATGTTGTTCATCCAGACAGAATATTGAGCTACAGGAAATTGTAACACATAAATGTTATCAAAATCCAAATCTTAATACCCATGATGGTAGTTTTATGCTTCTTTCCCATAGGTAAATTGATTTTATAATAATATAAAAGTAAACTCTTGTGATGGATTTGTGCTAATACTACTTTACCTGTTTTGAGCATTAGGGGTGGAGATAAGATGGGTTTGAAGAAAGACCCTGTTGCTAAAAACTGAGTAAGAAAACAGTGATCTAAGGTGGGAACTGAAGAACCTCAGAAATATGAGTGGCCAGAACTCCTACGAGGACCACAGTGGCCACGGCGCAGGCAGAGCTTCCCCAGGGATGCCCAACAGATGCCAGTCAACAGCGACCACATCACCAGTGCTGGGCAGCCCTGTGTGGGCAAACACCCATAACCGTGGAAACAGGGGTGGGGCTGCAGGGATTCATTCTCCCTTGCTCCTCTTCTGTGTGTATTTAAACTGCTCTGTATTAAATAATTTGAAAATGGTCAATTATATACTTTTCTTCACTACTAGAAGACATCGTGCATCTGCAGGGTTCTTGAGGATGCCACCCTGTGGCCTCTCCGTCCTTGCAGGAGCTGCCTTTCTCTGGCTGCCTTTGTCCTCCCCCAGCCAGCAATGACCAGAGGTCACTCTTGCTGTGAGGGGAGCTCTGAGCCCTACCCCTACCACGGAGGGGGTGACTGAGGCAAATTTAACTCAAACATGTAGGATGCAAGCTCCATGTCCTTAGCGGGGGTAGGAGGAGGAGAGGTGTCTGCACAGGCGCTAAAGGATAGGCAGAGCTCCTGGAGATGGAAACAGAGGTGGACAGGCCCCCGGCAGAGGGCACAGTGGGATCACACACCTGGAGATAAAACAGAACGAGGGAGGTTCCAGGAAGGTCTGACTTGTCTGGATCATGGCATCTGCCTGCACCATGTTGCCCTGAGCAGTGAGGCTGGAAAGAGGGCTTGGGAGCAAACAACTGCTTAGCCTCCCAGGGGGGGCTCAGGAGCCCAATCCTTATGGGATTATAAGTTGTGCTTTCAGACGTCAATGGCAGT